CCAGCACCATCTAAATCCTTCAATTACTGCCACTTGCATAAACAATTACTGAGTTTTCGCATAAAAATTTTGTATTCAATCTTAGAATTGTTCATTTTAATTTTCGGTAGGCTACACAAACTTTTCTTATTTTTTAAAAGTTTTTTACACCAGAATAAAGTCTTAGCCACTTCCCCATGTCAGAAAAGACCAGAAATCGCTTGGGCACCCCTTCTCCCACTACTTTTAGACATCTGTGAAAGGACCTGTGTTTCCGAGCCTCCTTATCCGGTATGCATTGGAAAACAGTCCAAAACGTCTGCATGTCAATTATGCAGACAGGTATAAGCGATGCAGATAGACCATACCTATGTCACCAGAAAAAATCCATATTCTAGCTCGGTTCAAACTAATTTATCTATATCTAAAGCTGTATCCTCTTGTACGGTGAAACACATCAACTGTCATTTATTACCAAACTGTAACAAGCTTGGCACTTTGAAAAACAGATCTTCACTGGAGCTTCGGTAAACTTTCACTTATGAGACAAGCTTGTCACTGCTTTTTCGATTTAGTTGAACATTATCTCACTGGCGCTAGAGATAGATAAGCCCAATCAGATAGGATAGAATTTCAAGGTCATTTGAATTCCTGTCTTGTCCATCTATGTCTTGTCAAATAAACTTGAGTTGTTATCGTGAACATTCCAACGTCTTCTGGATGAAGTAGATTTGGCGCCTGGGTACGAGCTTTATCCATCTACGTCACTCTATCTATCCAACTATCTTATAAAATCTTTGTTGTCTTTCAAAAATCGTTTAGTCTTTAGTTGCTATTTGTCAGTTCGAGTCCTGTTTAGCTGGATTGCCATTTGTCAACATTACCTGGCGGTGACCCTGGTTTTGTACAAGTTATTTGCAGATATTTGCTGTTTGCTGAATGCGGCGATAAGCGCAGAAGCGAGTTGATAAGTACAAAAGCGCGGCGATAAGCACAGAAGGCCAAAAACTAATCAGCACAAGCGTCAAATTTTTAGTTTCAAAAACATTCTGAAATTTGCTGCCTACAAGATGATATATCTTCTTTCGTCAGACATAAATGTCAAGTGTCTTCACATCTTTACACCTGACCAAAAACAACCCCGTAAATCATTCCCAGGTGCTCGCTTCCATACAGAACTATGGAGGATATTGCCGATTTACTGGATGTGAGCATACCATGACCTAGTTAACATGACAGGACCTGCGCCACTGAACCTAAACTGGAGGGGCCAGCAAAGAAAGTTTCCTCTTCCTTTTCTAGCTCCAATTGTGGTAGTCATTTTGCCGACGCTGTTTTACTTGAGAACTTTAGTTCAGTGTATTTGTTGTAATCAAAAGGTTTATCTGCATGAAAATTTTTCAGCTTTTTTAGTCTTTTATTGAGCGAAAAAGTGGCCTCCATTACATAAAGCATTTCCAGAATTGCTGAGAAACTGGCCACTTGAAGCACGACCACAGAATCAAGGCACAAATGTGACCATTATGACTGTGACATACACTGGTTGTTCCTTGTGGCTTCTACGAGGACCTCAGGACTTTGAGTTGATCTCTTGACGCGTCATTTCTATTAAAAACATTTAGCCCTTTCAAAGCAGCATGTATTGTAACTTTGACAATTTTCAACTTGCGTTGGTGATTTACGACCCGTCTTGGTAACTTCCTGGCGCCAAGCACTGATCATCATCATTTCTGGTTAATGACAACCCTCCTGTCAGATATGAATGCAGCCCGAAGGATTTTAGATAAGTTGGCCTCGCAAATCTCCTTCTGTTAGCGTAAATGACTAGGCCTATTTTTGCTAAAAAACAAATGAAGTAGAATCCAATATCATGGCTTTATACTTTTACATTTCGCCCGACTTCAACTATCAGCAAGTTGCAACAATTTTTCTTTAAATGGTCAGAAATCAACAGGAGCGTGAAATTAAAGGCAAATCGTTAGAGAATGCAAATGAAAAACGTATGTAACTAGAAAGATACACATTGAGAACGGCCCTGTTTGAAATAAACATTGCAATCATCTTTGGCTACTCACTAATCGATAGGGCTCACAGACTTGTGTTCACAGAACTAATTAAATTCAACGAAGATAGAAATTCGACTCGGACATCTGAAGAAATGTAAATAAAGTGACCAAAAGTATTCTACTCGTTTCTCTGTCGAAACTTTCAAGCCCCACCAGCCTAATTGAGTGATGGCAGACGAGGTGGTAAGTCCTGAATAATGTACTAAAAACGTCAGTGGCAAAGATTCCCGATGTTTATCCTCAATGAAGATCATTCTTGATGAAAACCTAATTTAAAAACCACCAAAACGTACCCTTCGGAATTTGTTTCCTAATCAGTAACCCTTACTGAAATTCATTTAGTCACACAATGGACTTTCAACATAACTAACCATAATCCCATTTTGGTCGCAAACAAACTTTAAGTAACTCTAAACCCTCATTTAAAAACACAAGCCATACTATTCAGGTCTCCAACGTGGCGATAATTCAACCCCAAAGTCGTGGGCTTTAAGGTTTACTTTCGTCATTTCTGTCCTTAAGCGTCATTGAAATCAGGTATGGAATTATATCCGCGATTCTCCAAAACGGCGTGGTAATTTCCTGAGATACAAAAGCCAACATGCTCGCTCTCAGTCTGAAAAGGTTCTTCAGTGAATCTCCACAGGTGACTTACGTTCAGTAAGAGAAACAAGTTTTTTTCTTCATTGAAAGACAGATCAAATACCAACTAACATAAAAAAGTGTGTGTGAACTGACCAGAATGACAAGGTGACGTGTAGATACCAATCAAGTGATATTAAAACACATAGATGGAAATGAAGATTTGTAAGAAAATATAACTCAAACCTATTATAAATTGAATCAATCTTGAAGACTAATCATAAAATCAAATTATGTGGGTAACCTAGATCTGGGCCAAGAAAAACTACCAGCCATTGGCCAGGTTGAAGACACACAAGCAGAACTTTATCTAATGTAGTCTCTGATATTAAAGGGTGCCTGTTTGGTATGATGAAACAACTTAGGATTGAAAAAAGTGGCCCTGAATGCAATGGAAAGGCAGGGTCCAGGATATAATCCCACCCTTTACTTGCCAATCTAACACAGCTTAGAATGAGCTGTCAATAAAAAATTGGGTAGAAATAGCAATTCTAAAGCATCACAGCCATTTTCATCTTAAGTAAATAGTGTTTTTGAGCACAACAAAACCATAAAACCAAAACCATAAATAAATGAGTATATATATAATCATAGGATAGATGAATATATAAATACATATACCTTTATAAATATATGAAAATAAATAGAGATTTCATTAATAAATTGAGACGTTTCAACAGTTCCATAGTGTAGACTTTCCTTTCTGCTGATATTTGGTTCTTTCATCTTGCTTACTTAACATACTTTATTCAAGATGAATAAGTTTCAGATGCTGGAAATACTTGAACTAAGATTTCATATAAATCAAAACTAAAAATCACAAACAAGTGATGATATCAAATTGAAAGATAAATTCTAAGATTAAAAAACAAAACTTAGATTAAAAAACAAAACAAAACCTTATACAAACATTTTACCTCCATTTTAATTATCAAAAACAAAACATAGGCATCTTCTTCTATACATGAATATGCTACTGTATAACAATGTAATAATGTTCAACTTTCCTATCCTTGGAATATCCAACTTAATTTACTAACATAACAGTAACACCTTTCTTGTTGAAATAAAAGCCACAAAAACCTTTACAAAACTTCACAAGGCAGCTTTCAAGAAAAATCACCATTTGTAAGTTGCTAAATTAAACCCTTCCTGGTTTATCATATGTTAATGAGGCTTTACTTCATTTTAATCTGAGATACACACTATGTGTTGAACATGTTTGCTTAATAATTTGAACAAATAATTTGAATATGAAACCAGGATATGAAAAACTACTACAGCTATTTCATGTAAAACAATTTCTTAATCTTAACTGTACCTTATCTAAACACTTGGAATTTGCAGTTTATAAGTTATCTAGCTAATTTGCCTTTGCATTCAGTTATATCTTGCATAACATGACACATTTTAAAATAACATGATACATAGCTTAACATGGCTTACATTATTTAATTTAAAACTCAATATTTGCTTCAACTTCAATTGTCACACTAAGTTTTCATAAAAGTTAAAAAATCACTTGGTAGTTTAATTTTATTGGTGATTCATATATTTCTAATAAAAATGGAGCTACATCAGGGGTAAAACTAAACATCTGGAAAACTGGACACCACGAACTCCAAAATAAATATAGCATATGCTTTTCTATAGATATAACAATGAATATATAAAATAAAAAAATAGCAAATTAATTCAAATTCTGATATTTTGGAAGGATTTCAGAACCTCGGGGATAATTTCTGTTATTATATTCTTGTGCAATTAAAAATTAATAAAATATGGCTGATTTGGCCGAAGCAGAAAATTGTATTTCAAAATATTGAACCGTCAAACAACTGGCGATCGTTCAAAAATGGAAACTTGATTAAATGTTGAACGGTTCCCTTCACATTGGGGTTGAGCTAAATACATGACACATGTCTATGTAAATAAACCTTATCCACACTCATTCCTCTGGATTGATATTTACAACTTGCCGGGCGTAGCAAAGTCGCCAGTTACTTATTTACACAAAACTTGACTGGATATCGTTTTATTGCAGCACTGAAGTAATTAGAAAACGCAAAGAAACACAATATTTTACCAAATAACTGCGAATTCTCGCTTACATGCCAATGTAAATGCCGAAATCCTTGAAACCTAACCCTCAGTGAAAACCGCAAGCCCAAGAATAATAAGAGTGGATTGTGGTAGGCCCACGACTTCTACCCTTAAAACACAACAGGTCTTTTTCGTTTCAAACTTGTGAAACCAAAGGCCTTCTGTCATAAAACGTACATAAAAACAAATCAACTCGTGAAAATCACATACCGATCAAACTTGGAAGACATGACCATAATGCCAGAATAAAGAACCGAATCTGTGAGAACAAAAGAAACGGTATATTTCAAAGCAGAAGTTTTGATTCGCACCTTAGCTCAAAATAAAGTGTCAATTCCAATCAACCATGTGAATAGGTACAAAATCGGATGAAAACAACGGAGACTTTATGGCAGCCAAGTGCAGGTTACGAAAGACTTGCACTTTGTTTTGACTAACAGTGAAGAGATTAAAGTAGCGAATTCGATGTTTATCGAACACAAATTTGCATTCTTTCGGCGGTACGGCCTATCGAAGTAGAGGTTAATCAACGGTAATAATATGAGGAATCATAAACAATTCTTAGTCGCATTGTAAGCAAAATATCCAATTCATGAACTAAACAAGGATGTATATACACATCAATTTAAGTGATAGACTTAAACCGCAACAAAAATGTTCAAACTTAATGTGTGGGGGTGAAAAACTTTTTAAGCTTACCTGTCCATAGAAGGTAGACCGTCAGTGTGATCCATTCAGTGAGCTGGAAACGCATGTTTTATTCAGGTTCCAGTAGAGATCTAAGTGAAGATTCTGAACACTCAAATGCGAAACATTGAGAACCATTCCATACAAGTCGTATTACTGGAAATCAGCAGAAATATTAATGGATTAAAAGTAGGTTTTACCATAGAAATCTCGCAGCATTTGGAGTTGTGATCGACTTAGCGAAAAGCGACTAAATGCAAACCACAGCATTGAGAAAAGACAATCGCACAGAGTTGTGGGAATGAAAAATGTCAACAATAAAAACAATAGAAACAATTCAAACAAAAGAGTCGATGAAAACAAAAGAAACAATAGAAACAAAGGGCGCTAGGACACGCGAAATCTGCTAAGTAGATGAACAAAAGAAACAAGAAGTCCAAAGAAAAGGTTGTAAAATGTGAGAACACGAACGCATTAGTGCGAACAAAAAGGTGGAAAATTTGTGCGGAATAAGGGCAAAGTGCAACTCATCACATCCGTAAAGAGACTTCTGGGGAGATAGTGTAAATTAGTTCTTAACAAATTCCTATGCTTGTTAATAGCTACGAAAAGAAAATGGACTCACATTTCAAAGTCCTAATAACATTCTTACGTAACAATATGACTATAGCGAAAAATAAGATATGGACAGACGAGGGAGTGTTGGAGAGGAAAAATGACAAAATGGTTATCGGGAAAATACTGGGGCATACCCGGTCACATTCTATCGACCCTGATCCTGACACACAATTTTCATAGACGTTTTATGATTACCAACTTTGAGGTCAATGTAAAATCAAGTTGAAAAATCCCATTCTCGTGCCATCTTTCTATTTATAAATTTATTGCAGATAAAACAAATATATGGTTTATTAAAAGGTTGATCTGATAGTGTTATTGCATGGTGGAGGTAAAGATGGTTTAGGTAGGCATGTGAGTAAGTGACGCAGGGGTCTAGTGCTATTGGGCACAGGGGGGGACCCCTTGTTAGCTATAATCCAAAAGTTACTACTTTTGCTATTGTTTTTGCAACATTTTGCACAAGAGCCCCCCTTCATATTTTTATTGCACAACACCCCTGAATTTCCTAGCCCGTGTCATTCATTCAACTTGTATATTTTTCATCCATCAAGCGTTAAGTAAGATTTCATATCATCAGAAAAAAAGACCAATCTAACAATTTAGGGCAATTTAGTTTTCTCTTTGCCACTATGAATGGTGTTTAGTAATATTAATTTCTGATTTCTGTTGGTTGATTTCACCCATCAGTTGAAAACGGACATAAAAAAGGACATTGTATTTCAACCCTAAGGGCAGAAGTCTTCGTTTTTATTCTTTACTGACTCTAATAATACCAATGTTAATTCTGCCAGTAAAGGCGAATAATCAGGAAAAATGTATATGATTTCTCTAACAAGATCCTTCAATTTTTTCGTCATTAAACTACGATAACCTTTTTGTGTGCGTGAATTGCATCTAAATTTTTGGTTTTTTGTCTTTACTTCAAGAATCTTTCTAATGTTAATTGTTCCATGTTTCTTATTGAAAATTAGTACAAACAGTGGTAGCATGCATGGATGGAAGTTTAGTGCTAAATTCAATTTTTGTTCAACATAAGGAAAGGCTAAATGAAATAATCATTTGAGGTTCTACATAGAAAAGTAAAAAATTAGCATTCATAACACTAATTAAAAAACCTCCGAATGAACTATGTTTATAGAAATCACCTGTTTTAATTCTTAATTACCTTATTTTTAGATGTGAAATTTCAACATTTTCCTTTTGTTTATCACGCAGGAACAGAGCCTTGGTGATAATAGTGCATTTAGTGCTCGAAAATTAGAATATGAAACTTAATTTCGCATACCATCTTAATATCGTTTTATATTTGGGCGTCTTTTCCTGCTCAAATTGGACTAAGGCTTTGCATAAAACATGCATTGAAAAAAGTTGTTGCCATTTATAATGATTTAGTGTCATTAAAAGCGAAGTGTTGTACAGAATTCGTTGTTAAGTTAGTTAGTCTTCAAATCCAAATGGAGCCCTGTCTAGAGTAGCTGTACCATAAAACCTTGAGTAAAGGGACAACAGCTTTCATTCTTTACTTTGAATTTTTCCTTTGCCCTTTATAATCTCATGCAGTTTAGATTTGCGCTCGCAGTAGTATGAATCCTTTCAGGATTTAACAAAGAATAGACTTTGGGAAAGTCTAACAAAGTTACGAAATTTCTGATATTTTCCGACAAAACTTGGTGCTTTAGGCGGAGCTGCCCCAGTCCCCCTACCACCACAGCAGAGACATTAATAAAAACGAGATATATATTTTAATCACCCCATTAATGTGCTGACCATTCCGATAGTTTCTCTTCCCAGGACTTGGCCTATTATCAGCCCCGGACAGAAACACCTAGCTCCTATCGCCGTGACTCTTTCAACCTACAACTATCCGTGGCTCTGGTAGAGAGTGGACCCGAGCCGTATAGGGCAATCGTCATGCTCGTCAGCATGATTATTATAATGAAAGAAAGCTTAAAAAGAGTTTTTCTGTGATTTTCCCAAGTTTAACGAAATTTCACAAAACTCGTGCTCATTTAGGTGTCTTTAAACAGTGAGCTTGTTTCCGTAATCTTAAAATAATCGAAGTACCTTTTGATCTCGTGTTTGGTTTCGGAGATCTTTGTTTTTGGTTTTCAAAGAAAGATATGTCATCTCTATCATACCACAAATTGAGAATTTTGCAGACCACGGCATAATAGAATTTCCACGAACATTATTGGTGGCCAAAATTGCTTTTAATTAAGAACAACGTTGAGGTTGCTTATTTCATTCATTAAAAGAAATATATTGTTCATACATAAGACTCACCTGTTAGGAAGAGAGCCCATTGCCATTGATTTGCGATACAATTTTTGTCTGTGGGTGGTTGATGAGTTTCGCCTGACTGCATTCGCAAAAATCATTAAGAATATACAATTAACAAGGACGCTGACCTGCTCGACTGATCCAAGATAGTGATAAATTGAGAAATGTCAATCTCCCTGACCCCCTCTCTCCTGGCCAGTGCGCATTTACGAACACCATTGGGCCAGAAAAGAGCAACCATAGGAAACGAAGGAGTTCGGTCATAACGTTAGAAGCACGGTCCTCTCTCAATCGACAAATTCTGAACACTGAAGGGGGCAGTGAGGTTATCCCCCTCCAATGTACCCTAGATAAATGAACTCAACATTTCACTAAAATTGCCTTTTGGTAACTATCCGACCCTTATACTCTGAGGTATGCCTGACAAATAGCAATAAAGTACGGTTAGTTTCCACTTTTTTGTGCTGTCCTCAAACTGAACAAGTTATACCATATTCAGTGCCAAATGGCCTATGCAATGGGAACTGTCTTGTTTCCATACTGCTCGACCTGATGATGTTATTAGTTTACCCTAACCCTAACCCTCATCCTAACCCTATCCCTAACCTACCCTGGGTACCAGACTCACTATATATAAAATAAAATAGTGAGTCTGGTATCCCTAACCTACCCAGGGTATCCCTAACCCTACTATCAGGTCGAGCAGTATGGAAACTAGACAATTCCTATTATGACATTTTGAGTAGAATGTGTTAAGCATTCTACTCAAAATGTTTGACCTTGATTACATAATGTTATTTTGGTCCAAAATTGATAAAGAAGCGAAAATGATATATACCCAGAGTTACTGCAGCTAGATATAAGACTATTGAGAAAAAAAGAAATTCTTCCCACATAATTCATTACATTGCTTTACTGGTTGATTCATATTTCATTATATCATATCTTTTAACATATGCCAAAAGTGTAAAAAAATGCGAGGTCTGTTGTAGCAGTACCCCGGCTACTAGGGCCATATAAATTCGAGCGTGGAAGGAGCTGACTCTCCTCCGCTTCTCCACTTGGATTTCCATTACCGCAGTTGAAATATTTAGCTCTGGTACCCAGAGTATTATAACAGCTACACTGTTAGTGAATGAAAAGCCAAGAATCACAATAAAACTGAAGAATAAGCGGAGATGGCATTTGTGCAAGGATGGAGAAAATTTTAATTTCCAAGCTTTCTTTTTAGTGCTAATGGGTCGCAGTTCTTTTCTTCAAAACATTGCAAAACAAGTTGAAGACCATAGCGACATTAAGAGAAACTTTACGAGGTGTGGCTAAACCTACTGCAAAGGCTTTGCAAACTGTTATTTTTTAAAGTACTATTATAACAGCTCTTTAGAAGAAACAGGTTGAGCTTGGGGGCGGGGTCTATCAACGTATTCGGCGAGAACAGCTGATCCATCTTTCTAGGTCATCAAGTATTTATGATCTAAATTTTCATACATTTTTCCAAAGCATGCTTCAAAGAGTGAGACTTTCAAAGGAAGAACATGCTTCTACATCCTAGAAACATGGTGCGTCTTTTTATTTAGTGGGTGTACACGAAAAAGATAAATACGTCATTCATAACCTCGAAAATTTAACATGAAGAAGGAATCTAAGAAAGCGGACTGTTATATTAAATTGCTTTTTGCAACCATGCAGAGCTAGATCATGTTAAATTATTCAGAGAACTAAAGTCAAACCTTATTATCTATCTAAAAAAGCTCCAACGATTGACTTCTTGTTGTACACTCATTTTTTCAAATGATCGACCAAAGATTCTTGTTGTACACAAATTTTTTCATAAGAAACAGGTTATAAGAAACAGTAAGCTCAATTTTTCGAATATTAAGAAACAACCCTACCCAGACTGAACAAAGCTGAGAAACTTTAATAATTTCCAGTTTTGATTTTCCGAGTTGACACTCAAAACAGTCTTGACATTGAACACCGCTGTATATTGCAACACTACACTAGAAATGCAGTTTGCATTCATTCTCAGTAAACTGCACCCTCAAGAAGTTTCCATTTAAAGATTTGTTTTGACTTCAACTTGACATTGATGAAGTTCAATGAGCTTAACTGTTGACAGACTTCAAAGGAGGTAGTCATTCTAGGAAAAAAAATTCCTTGATCACTTTGTTAGTTTATCTCTGAATGTGAGTGAACTATTTACTTCACCTTGGAAGCATGTTTAAAAAATTCACTACCTAAGAAATTAAAGAAACATGTAAGTAACTTTTCATAGCACAATGGCCGAAAAAATTTAAGAAACTGCCTACCAGCATCGGACCTTAGTTTCTTATAAAAAAATACGTGTATATGAATGAATTTGGCCCTTTTCATACTT